GAACATATACCCAAAGTTTCAGCCTCTCAGCTTTCCTGGTTGCTGAGATGAAAGTGGGTGACAAAAAGCACTCGCTTCTGAACACACACAGGCAGCCTCTCGACAATATGCATTTTTGCTGGCTGTAGCAACGCTGTGGCGCTGCTCAGCAAAAACACATAAAAAGGCTCATTAGTTAGGCAGCATTAATGCGAAGTTCACAACGAAGGAATGCATAATTTCCCAAAGATTGAAACCGAAAATTAAAAATGTTTTGGCAACGATGAAAATAGAGAATTTATTAGAAAAGGTGAAAAAATATTCTAGAAACAATAAAAGAACATGTGATATCAAAAGAACGCATACTTCACCGAAGTCCCCAATTTTTTTCCAGAAGAAAGCGTCCCTGGACAAGTATGAGTAAAATCTCGTTCAGAAAAATGTCCGGAAACTTCGGCAGCTAGAATGTCTCGCGAGACTCTTTCTGAAGATCCAGATAACGATGTGTGAGAGTAGACAGTATTGAAATTCTTGGACATCGGCCTGCTTCAGAAAGACTCACATTGTAAAGGAACTCGTACCACTGCGTCATGGGTTTCACTCATTTCGTCTTCGGCCTTCGCAGTGCTCCTCGGATACGTAGATGCATCGTTTTTTATCTCATCTCAAACGTGATTCCCAAGCATTCAAATACCTTTCATAGTCATTTGTGATCTTTTTTTGTAAAAATATTTGGTATTGTAATTGGTTAAAGTATAATTTTTTTCTCTGCTGTGATGTTTTTGCGCATACAAATTGTTTAAGGCCCTTCGTGCCTCTGCATTTTTTCCATTTTTGCTACACTTATCAAATTCCTCTGCATCTTTCACAGTCAAGAGCATCAACTGACTTATTACCGTCTCTTGTGTCGTGTCTACATTATTTAAATGAACGGAATGCACAGTATTACTGTTAGTAACTGGATTCCCTTACGCTCGTCGTTCGTACTGATTGCAGGATCATTGAAAAAAAATTTTTGCAGAATTTTTTGCTCTTCTGCTAGATTCATATGCTTATTCAGCGAGGGATTCGCGAGTGACCTTTGGTTGGCCGGACTGATCCAGAAAACCAGTTATATCATTCAGAATGTAACTGTTCTGGCAATTCGGACAAGTTCCTGACAGAGCTGCAAATATCTGCTTGATGTGTCGACATTTTTATACTCATACATAATGCAATGAAAGAGAAGATGAATGGCAGTGATAGCGACATAACTGTCTGGAACGACTGGCAGTATCAGTGTGAACAGTGTGTACGGGCACAATAAAACTGGTGGACATTGGCTACGGCTGCCAAGCAAGTGCGTACTGGCCATCCTTTTCAACTTTACATGATCTGCCTTCCTGCAAACAGCGTTCACTGTTAGTATCCATTATGCGGTACCCATAAGCTGCAATTTTAGCCAGAAAGACCTAATTGAGATAACCAGGTTTAACCATAATTTATAGCAGCGGTTTAAAATTCTTGATAATTATTAAACTGTTCCGTAATTAAAGTAATTCTCAGCCCCATTTGCCTTCGAGCCTATGCTCTGACGTTGCGCCATGCATAAGCTAGGTTACGGGATTTTAGCACGTTATGCGCATTTTCACCAAATCCTCGAGGAGGAGTACTGAGCGTTTTTCAACCATTGGTCAGTACTATAATCCAGGCAGCAATGCACAACAGGCTTACCAGTGCGATCATGCGCTTTGCGCTAAACTTGAAGTAGTGAGGTCGTTAACAGTATGAGTATTTAGTGCTTTACAGTTTAACGCTTACAGTCGTGTTGGCAATGTTTTTGCAATTTCATCTGTGAGGGGAGAGAAGAGACGTCGGCTGGGGCGGTATTGCTGCATCATGGCGCTACGTAAAATCCTAACCACTGGCGTGCATGATTGTAAATTTTGCATGAAGAGGAGGGATAGTTCCCGGCAATCAGTCGTTCCTTGAAAATTCACATTTTACGATGGATAGAGTATCTAGGGAGGGTAACAAAATCCGATTGGCAAGTTTCCCGCGAGGATTTTAACTTGTCGATGTGTGAGGCGTACTTAGGAACTGAATCTGAAGTCTGGATCACACATGAACAGAAAACATCCTCCTAATATTTGAACTTCTAGCTCATGAGTCAGTAATTTTTCTGCCAAGATTTTCGGGTGTCTGTGCGTAAGTTTCAGACTTGTGTGGAGGTTGATGTCACGATCTTTGGATCGAGCCTGGCTGGGAAGCAAAATTTCTTCGTTTAAGCTCATCTGTTTGCCGAATTAAAATACCCAAACAAACACGTATACACGCACACACCATGGGCAGGCACAATATTGTCGAGAAGCTCGCGGTGTGTTGTGAACAGGTGAACTTTGTCACCCGCTTTCAATTCAGCAATCGGAAAAACTGAGGATTTAATTTTGCGAGCATGTTCTCAAAATACGTATCAGTCTTACAACCCGAAATCATTTCCTATGTACGGCTGGATCTCACTTACGAACGCCGAAAAAATTATACGATTTTTTTCAAAAAGTAAGTATTTCCGACCGCTGCAGTCATTAACTGAGATAATTCAGGCTTGCTAGTGCGATCATGTGTTTTAGATTAAACTTGAAGCAATCTATATGGATGATAATTGCTTTACATTTAACTTGTGCACTCACTGCCGTATATCATCGCAAATTTTGCATAAAGCGGTCGCGCCCTGAAAATCACCTGATTGTTCTGGTTTCCGAGTTTGCAATTTTCATGCAGTCGCGCTTTAGAACCACATAAACTTGGGGGGCAGAATTTGAAATTTTTAAGTCGCGCGTGGACAGCGAACAACCCCTTAGAATTCCAGATTCTAAATTTCTGTTCCCCAAGTTGTTAGATTTCACACTAAGTCTTTAACGTGTCCGTGCGTAAGACTCGGACAAATTAAGCAGTCGAATTTGAAATCTTTTGATCGCAATTAAGTAGGGGACATCTCTTTAGAATTTCAACTTCCTAGCTTTTCTCATCCCAAAGTTAATGATTTTCCCGTCGAAATGTTCAGTGTGTGAGACGCAGACGTGCATGAAAGTTGATATCACGCTCCTGAAGTCGCAGTTTGCCGAGGAAAAAATCTCAGCAAAATTTCTACATCAAAGATTGCGTGGTTGACAAGCAGAAATACCCATACAGACGAATACACACACAGAGCCGTAACAATATGCGTCTTTGCTGCCTGTTGCTGCACTCTAGCGCTGCACAGCAAAATCTCATAAAAATGAGGAAACCTTGAAGTGATTTTTGTATGCGAAGTCATCAAGAGCAACAACAGCCTCAAATTTCCCGCCCAATGATTTCTCGGCGTCCTTCTGAATTGAATCCGCAATATTCAACAAATCGTTGCCTTTCATTGCACTTTTCATCGCAGCCTCCAGCACCTTGTTGCAACACGTGTATCCTAGGCACGGCACTCACAATGAAGAACTGTTATACCACTGGCTATTTTGAGAACGGCAACCACCTGTCTGTTCGTAGAGCATTTTGAACAGACATTTCACGCACACATATACATGTATACATACATAAAGATAAACATATATACACACGTATCACGCCTTCGGACTTCTTTTACTGCAGTCCTTGTAACAGTTATTTTGAAATATCAAACGTTAGCATTACGGACGACACACTGCATTGGTCTGCCACAGTCACGCATTTTCACAACTATTCACTGCTAACGACCTGCAGTTGACGAACGCTACAAATGCACAGAAAGTGGCTGTACTTTGCAACGAATATCTTTGCAACCAGCCAACTCAGGCAGCATTGCAACCAGCCAAGGCCCATCAAAAGACTTGCATCAGCCTGTATCTAGGCTACCCGCACACACAGAGGTGTCTAAGCTACTTTTTAGCCTTGCTTACACGCCGTACATGAAACTAAAATCCGAAATTTTAAGTTTGTAAACTATGTCGTTTCGTAAAAATTTGCTGGGAACTGCAACAAGATCATCAGTTAAAGCAACAAAGAGCTTTGAGAGATAATCTTAAGCCTACCGTCCTGCACTTAGATGGGAACTATGTGTTCAAAGATATCAGGCTCCTAGTTTTTTCATTTTAAAAGTACAATCACCGGACAGATTGAAAGACTGACAAATACAAGCAAACACAATACCGCAATTATAGGTTTTAGCTGGCAGCAGATTTGCACTGCGCATAAAGGAATAGGCGTGAGCATGCGTTTTTGACAAGGAGTTACCAAATTGTCTGCGATAACTTATGTATGAAGTTTTAGAGGACTTGTCAGCTGATCTTATGCGCACTTACTGTGGCCGTGACCTTGCTCACAAAATTTTAGCTTAGTTGCTTCGGTTGTCCAGTCACAAAGCTGCAGGCATCAAATCAGATGTGCCCGCGTGCGAGACATAGGGAATATGTAAGGGTTGATTTCACGTATGCTTCTCTGCACACTAGTAAACTTAATGAACAGTGCACCGGCTGCGGTGCGAAGATGCGTTTTTTGCACAGTTTCCCCGCAGGTTTTTGTTGCTAATGGCATTGTTTTTTATGGCCGATGTTCTAGCTAAGAGAATTGAGAGTAGCTACCCCGACTGTTAGAAATTATGAGAATGACTCCCAGTACATGCCCAAAAAATTCATTTCGAAAATTGATGGAGTTTTGAAATTTCTGTTTGTTTTCCTTTTTTAATGCGATAATAAGTAAAACAAATAGCGGCGCGTACCAGGGTTGCTGAAGCAATAATGCGTTTTTGCGATCAACTAAACCACAAACCTGGGGTACCACTTCGCCGGGGAACCCACTGGCAAAATTTTGGTGCCGAAGCTTGCTTGGATGCCCCAGACAGAGAGACAGACAGACACACACACGCACTGGGGTCCTCACAATATGCGTTTTTACATTTGTATATAAGCAAAAATGCATAACAACAATACAATGAGCGAAAGGACCAACCACTTTCATTGATAAAACAATTGTCATTGGCGGCGCTGCTCTGGCGAACAACCAGACAAACAACGAAAAGCATGCGCTGATTGAGGAGCCAGCGCAACCGGCACATCCGAGAATGGAGGAGGAGATCAATCACTGCAATTCAGCAACATTTTACTTCAGCGAGCAATTCCGACGCAAATTTGCGAATTCAGCGCAAAAAATTGGAAGTTATACAACATGAATGATAAGTGGAATATCAGCGCCAATCCTTCAGTGTTAAGAAAGACTGTAGCCACAGGTCGAGAACAGTAATGTCAAACTCCTTTGTATTTCACTCCTGTACCTTTTAAGGTTATTCTGACAGGCACTCTGAGTCGGGCTCGAGCCTGGTAATGCATAAAATCACTGCCTTGTTGTAGCAAGATCAGATTTCTTCTGGCATATTAGGAGTGGGGCCAATATAAGTTCAAGTTTCTTAAAATCCGGAGAACTCGGAGTATCAACTCAAACTTTGCCGAATAGCTTTCGCTGCGACTCCCCAACGAGACGCCATTTGGGCTGTCAATGCTTCTTAAACTTGAGAAGTTTGCTGGATTTAGTTCAAAATAAGGAGGACTTTTACGGTTATTTATCGCCTAAAGGATAATAAAGGGTATCAGATACCAAACTTCCTCCCCCGGCCGTTTGTGGCAGGTCTTGTGCGATAATCACTACTGTGTGTTACATTAGCTAACAGCGGAAGGAAAAATTCCTGGTTTTATATTATTTGGTGGTGCTCTTAGCCGTATGTTTGTCTTTCACCGCACTAGCCTTGCTATAGGCGGTGAATCAGAACGTCACATGCAAAATAAAAGACGATCGTAGGCCGAGACAGCACAAAATAGAACAGTTCATATACAGCTTGTTTTCTACGAAACATGCCTTATTTTCTACGCATGCTGAGCCCAATTTCTTATCTGTTTCGTCAGTTTGAAATTTAAAAAGTTATTGGCTGAGCCACAGACCTGAGCTCTCACTGATACAACGCGCAATGCATCAGCAGCATCTTGATTTGCTTTAATAAAATCAGTACTTGCCCAGCCAACATGTTAAGGTTTTTAATTTCTTTGTCGCTTGTGAGATAATCTTCACAGAAGTGGGGGAATCCAGCAACAACCGTGCCAGTGAATATTTGTTATTAATAGGTACGTTTTTACACATGTCATCAGAGGGTGTCTTCAATTTTTTTTGCAGGGGATGGAAGTGGGCATTGAGTTCTATCCATAAATTCGAAGTGGACACTGCGAACGAACGTCGAAAAGGCTGAAGGAAACGATCAAACACTGACTTATATAGTTAAACCTCTGAGAGCTAGATCTGAACGATCATTGAGATGTTTGGTTCAATTTTTTTTATTGTTGTAGTGGTTGAACGAAAATTTGCTGTATAAAAGAAAATTTTTGCTTTGCTGCAAAAATGTTTGAATAAAAGCAAAAGCACTTGTGAAAAGCGCTTTCATGCAGCGGCAGTTATAACAATTTTTCAAATACTTTTCAGTTTCTGGGTTTTTTGTTGTCACACCGGAAATTTTATATAATTTTTGACCATTTATGTGGAAATGAAGAAGGTGTTGCTACACTCTCCCATTCAGCAGTACGAAAGAAGCAAATTATCAATTTGTGCAGCGCATTTATTTTGACAAGTCAGAAACCTGGAGAAAGAATTCAACCCAGGTTGCAACGCATCGAGCTTGCCGGTGCAGTCGTGCGTTTTTGTGCTCAGCTTGTAGATCTTTAACAGCACGAGTAGTTCCTGAGCTGTAGTTTAACATTTGGACTCATATTGTCTGCTTACCGCATGCAGGGGGAAAGGGCATCGGCTAAGATGGTGTTGCATTATGGCGTCGTATGGGCCTTCAGCCTGCAGGATTATCATCTTTTATGCGTTTTTGTTGTACAATGCTACAGCAAAAATGCATATTGTCGAGAGGTCGTCTGTGTGTGTGCGTCCGGAAGGTTTTTTTGAGTGAACTTTGAGCAATTAAAAAAACTGGGCTCGGCTCGGCTCTTCTCATATAAAAGCCGCAAAAAATTTTTTCTCCCGACGGCAGGTTGGGCTGCCCCACGGCGGATGGCGGCAGTTTGAATGTCGCAGGTGGAAGTAGGGGCTCACTGATGTGTCCTATAATTTTGCAGCTTTGTTTGACGCCCAGTGATGTGTCCGAGCAAGTAAAATGAGCTTTTCAGCCCCTCTGTATCACACATACTTACGCGTGAAAACTTCATGTAGGCAGTTTTGTAACTTCAGAACTGGAACAGGTAGGGGGTTAGAAACTTACTGAGCGTGGCCGGCGGCTGCATTTGACCAGGTGGACGTGAGAACAACTTTCATGTCCCTGTTTACGTACATGTCATGTGCGAACACGTGAAATTTGATGTAACTCCGGAACCGAAGCATCAAGAGTGCTGGATTTTTTGAGCATGGATTGGGAGTCATTGTAATACTTTCTAATGGTCATGGTGGCTACTCAAAATTCCTTTAGTTAGAAGCTTTTGCCGGAAAAAACAGTGCCGTTAGCGACAAAAATCTGCGGGGGAACTGCGTGAAAAAACTCATCTTCGTACTGGCAACTGGTGCGCTGTAAGTTATACTATTTCGTGCTTTAGTAAGATCAATAAAACTTTCACATGTCCATAAGTGGAGCACGGACGGTTCTCAGGAGCTGAATTTGGAGTTTTTGGTCGTTTATCAGTAGTGAACATTCTCCTAAAGTTTCAGCTTTCTAACTTTTCTCACTTTCGAGTTGGGAATTTTCTCGCCGAAACTTTCTCGTGCCCATAAGTAAGATCTAGGCGTGTGTGACAGACAGTTTATATTCATGTTCTTGGCGTCGCACTTGGCAGAGAATATACTGACAAAATTTCAGCATCAAAGCTCGCGCGGTTGTTAATTAAAAATACCCGTACAAACGAACACACACACAGACATACACGCACAAACATACACAGACAGATACGGTCGTCGCATTACGCGTTTTTGCTGCCTGTTGCAGCGCTACAACGCTACACGTTAAAGACGCATTAAAATATTCTGAAGTAAAACTGTCGTTTAACAAATAGGTAGATGTTTTAGTTGATCACAAAGACGCATTATCGATTCAGCAACCCTGGTACGCGCCGTTATTTGTTTTACTTATTACCGCATAAAAAAGGACGACAAACAGTAATTTCAAAACTCCATCAATTTTCGAAAACAAACAGAAGTTTCAGAGCCCCACCAGTTTTCTAAAAAGTGAATACAAACAAATGAATAATTATGTTTAGTCCAGCTTAATGTCAGCACCCTAATAAAAATAGGCAAGTGAGGGGGGGATTTCTATATATTTTTTCCGCATTTGTTTTATTCGCAATCTTTGGTACATTTGGTTCGCAGCATTGAGTCTGAGACCGAACTTCTGAGCAGAAATCAGTCATTTCACAAACGCTGCCTAGGGGAAATCCAATAAGTAATTCTTGAGCCAAGCGCGGCACTGCTGGACCACATCAGTGAAGTAAACAGCAATAAAATTTGCGCAGAAGTAGCTGCTTTTTGCACTGAAGATTCATCGATG